GAGCCAGAGATTAGGCTGGGAAAAACAAACCAGCCTACTCAGCCTAACTCAAAATCCTATCCTTGGGTTAACCTCCCATCTTTCTCCCCTCCAAAACTTAGATTTATTACATTGGAGCTCTCCAGTTAATGTGAACTATCCACAGGATGGCATGTTCTGCATGCTGGCACATCTCTGACAGAGCTTAGAGGGCCATCAGCAGGGCTGCTCAGATCCAGGGAAATGGGAATCATGGAATCACAGAATGGTTTGGGTTGGAAGGGACCTTAAAGCTCACCCCATTCCACCCCTGCCATGGGCAGGGACACCTTCCATGATCCCAGGGTGCTCCAAGCCCTGTCCAAGCTGGCCTTGGACACTTCCAGGGATGGGGCAAGTCCACCATCTCTCCTCTATTCCAACACTACCTGCTGCTCAGCATCTACACAAGTTCATTTTGGCCGCGTATCAACACACCACAGTCCTTGTCTGCAACTTCCTCTATGAAGAACAGGGGGAGGAGAAAAGGTTCCTATCACAATCTTACCAGAATGAGATTAATACAAAAACCCTGTGGGAGAACACAGGTTTTGGAACTGGCTCTGGAGCTGCATCAATTTCCAGCTGGAATAAAAGACAACCTGGAGTAGCTTAACCACGAGCAGCAGCACCAAGGATTTGTTCAGTGGAAGAACACAACAAAGATATGGTGGGGTCAGGCAGGAAAAATCAGGTTAAACCAGGTACAGAGAGAAGTTTTGGAGGGTACAATTCCTGTCCTACTTGACATCCTATGTGCAAGTTCCCTGAGCATGATCCTCAGCTGATACAATCCTGATAGAAGCTTAAAGAATGGGAACGAAACAAGAGAGGACTGATGGAATGTGAAAAATTCTTACCTAAATGAGTTCCTTGATGAGTTTTGCTGGACCTATGAGCACAGGTGAAGAAATTAGAGTTTTAAACCCTGGAGATCACTGAACTGCTGGTACAGGTTTTCAGCCACATGCTGTGTGGGTGTTTCTTGGTATGAGCTAAAAATTGATGTCCTACACCTGTAATTAAAAGAAGGATGAAAATATGTAAATTATTAAAAATTGTTCCCTTATCCCAAACACTTACCAGAGAGTAATGGAGCAGCCCAGGGATGAAGGGAATAGGGCCCTCAAGTGGTGCAGCAGCCAGAGAAGATGGTCTGGGAGGTGGTGGTGGAGTCACTGCACAGATCAGACACCAGACCTGAGTCTGCCAATAAGGCATGGGGATAAATAAATAATATTAGTTCAAGGAAATCAGGTGTGAAAAGATAGAGATGACTGTCAGCTGAGACAAATGGGGTCTGTGACTGCTCAGTCTGATAGAAAATCAGCTGGGAGGCCACTGAGACTGGTGCAGGAAGAGACTGGAGTCTTCTACAAGCCAATAAAGCCTTTCTGGCAAAGATGCAAAACTGTGGGAAACAAGAATTGGGGAAATTAAAATTAAAAATTGAAGCGAGAAACGTGGGGAAATTAGTTCAATCCATTTTCCTGTTTGGGGAATACAATGCAGCTGAACTTTGAAATAAAGAACAAGAGGTTCCACAGAAATGGAATCAAGTCTGTTTTCCTATGGAACTGAGCCCCTGTTTTCTTCCAGACCTCTGACCCCTTGTCACCTGCGAGATCTTTACCTTTCTTTTGAATTTTGAGGGGTTCACAAGGCACTGGGAATTTCCTGGTGGATGTGCTGTGAGTGAATTTGGGTCCCTTGGATGGCCAGGGAGACCACAAGGAACCAGCACAGAGGTTCCCCACGTGCTTTGGGTGACCAGCCACATCCAAGCCTGTCCTTGATGGCTGGATGTACCAGGGACAACAGGATGTTCCCTGGACCTGGTGTGCTTTTATTCCACTTTATTCCCTTGGAAATTCCCTCTGCACCATCTGCAACATCCACTGCAGCCACATCGCTGTAACTGGGATATGGGAGCCTGGTCTTGCCCCCCTTGCAGGCCATAAAAAGCAGCTTATTCAAGCAACTTAAGAACAAATAAGAGCAGCATAACCTCCTTTCTCGTGCTTTGCAGGCAGCCATAGATTGTTGGCAGAAATTCTGCCAAACTTCTTGTTTAAATGTAGGAGCTGTGCTTATTTGTATTGTTGGTAGTCCCCCACGAGGATCTGCTCTCCTTGCACGGGGATATTGTTTAGAATGAAGCCCAGGCTGGCTACTTTGCCATTAAAATTCCATGCCAGCCCAGCGCTGACAATATTGAAGCTTTGCTAAATGTGTGTACGTGTAAGTTCATTAAATGGGTGCTGACTGTTGTTACATGAGTACAGCAGTTGAGTGCTTTCTGTATTAACCTTATCACCTGATGGGCAAAAGAAAAGGTTTAACTAAAGCTTAGGACTAATTGAACGGTATTTCAGTATTTTCTTATGTAAAACTGGTTCTGGTCTATTGTTTTTATTTATTTGCAATAACTGTGCTCATTCAAGTTTGTAATGACACTGCCATGGGTGAATAGAATTTGCTTTAAGTATTATTCTCCTTTTTTCCTATCTCCTGCCTCCTCTAAACTGTGTCTCTCAGGAGAAAATCTGCAACGGAGCCTGGTAAAAAGACAACTCTCTAAGTACACACTCATTTTGGGGAGATACGTCCCCAAGCTGTGTTTTTAAAATTACTTTTAGCAGTTCCTGTTTATTTTCTCTGCCTGCCTTGGGTATTTCCTGTCGGGCTGAGCAATGAGCATGGAGCTGGAGGAGATAGGAGAGAAAAAAACCTCTCGAAGAAAGGTGGGAGGTGTCTTATCATCAAGACACTCCACAAACCAGAGCACTTTCTTTGCTCAGTTGCCACTAGAGTATGCTCTCGTGCTACAAGTTCCAAGGATTTTTTTTAGAAATAAATCACTCTGTGTAGCATGAGGCCATCTTTCAAACGCTTTCCACTTGTCCCAGTGGTTTGGTTTTTACTAAGTAATACTTTTTTTTTTTTCCTTCTTCTTTTTTAATTGCTGTTGAGCACATACTCAAAGATTTGAGAAAGCCTGGAGGTTCGCTTTGAGGTGAGGTGAATCTAACTTGGCTTCAGACAATTCCCAGTTCCCAGAGGGTGGGTGAAAATGGCCAAAAAATATCTTACCTGCCTCTAAAAAACAAACAAAAAAAGAGGTTTGCATGTCCTTCCTGTCTTGGCCAGATCCCTGGGTCATGGCTGATGAAGAAAGAGGGGGCAAATCTCACAAATTAATAGATTTCTGCTTACAGAAGAAACATGTAAATTCCCCTTTTCAACATAAAGTGTGCTTGTAATCCCAGCCTTTGAAATGGTGGTAGTTATTCAGTAAGATAAAGGCTGCTGTGAGCCTGCCCTACCACATTACAGCAAAGTACTTTGTCACTGGCACCCTAAAAGTTCCAGTTTCTGCATGACAAAGATATAAAACAACTTGCAGGACAATTAAAGAACAGTTTGTCCTCACCCTATTATTACCAGCCATTCTTCCACGTTTCGATATTTACCCGTAAATTGCTACCTCCCCCATCAATATAATTGTAATCAGCCACGGTTAACATTTGTCTTTGGATGCCTTTTCCAAGGGAAACACAAAGAAGGAAAAATACGGCAAAGAAAAAAGCCACGCTCCGGATAAAGAGCCTCGCCACCAGCCTGCTTTCACACACAGGCTGCGCACTTTGCTGCTAAAATTACATTTTAGGAGCCCCAACGGGCGCGGGAACAATGACCCCGCTCATTTCCATAGTGACAATGGCTGGTGGAGGATTGGAACATGTCTTTTTCCTCTCCCCGATGGTCCTCAGCCAACAACGGCAGAAACCTGCCAAGGAGTTGAGTCTGTGGAAGCTCTCGGTCCCCACGGAGCTGGGAGGTTCCCTTTGGGATGGGAGGCAGCCACTGGGTTCTCCAGCCGTTCTCCAGATGGTGTTCACACCCTCAAACACCAGCTCCTGCAAGCAGCCCCAGTGACTTCTGAGTGGATCAAAACTTCAGCTTTTCTGTAGAGCCCGGCTGAGTGCACAGAGCTTCCCTAAATTCATAAAATCATACATGGTTTGGCTTGGAAGGGAGCTTAAAGCCCATCTCATTCCACCCCTGCCATGGCAGGGACACCTTCCGCTATCTCAGGTGGCTCCAAGCCCCATCCAACCTGGCCTTGGACACCTCCAGGGATCCAGGGGCAGCCACAGCTTCTGTGGGCACCCTGTGCCAGGGCCTCAGCACCCTCCCAGGGAAGAATTTCTTCCCAGTATCCCATTTAACCTACTCTCTTTTAGTTTGAAGCCGTTCCCTCTTGTCCTATCACCCCATGCCCTTGTAAAAAGTCCCTCTCCAGCTCCCTTGGAGCCCCTTCAGGCACTGGAAGGCCTCAGTGAGGTCACCCCAAAGCCTTCTCTTTTCCAGGCTGAACAAGCCCAGCTCTCCCAGCCTTTCCTCTCAGCAGAGGGGCTCCAGCCCCCAAATCATCTTGGTGGCCTCCTCTGGACTCCAGCAGGTCGATGTCCCTCCTGTTCTGGGGACTCTGGAATTCTTTAATGCCTTCCTTGCTTCTGTCGGGGGTTTTGTGCTGCTGTTCTGGGGCCCTTCTCCAGCCCCCAGAACACGACGTGTATTTCCTCAGTTGTGTCAGCCCTTAATCCTGCTTTTTTTTTTTCCTTAATAAATGCAAACCTAATTTTCTAACGTCTCCACTTAGATCTAATCCATAAGGCTGTTTATTATCCTCGTTACCCTCTTCTATACCTTTTTCATTTGTATTCAAAAGCCTCTCTTTAATCTGTCTCAATTCTCCAGGTATGGCCTCGCCGCTCTTTCGTACAATCCCATAATGATTTCCACGGATGTGTTTTACTCCTCTACCGATAGGTCTCGGGATGCTATTTGCCTTCCTTAACTGCTTCCCGCAGCGGGACTCGCTGCTTTTAATATTCCATACACTGACATCTTCCATCTTTTCCTTCACCAGCATCTCGTGCCACCCCATCCAGGGGTTAAATTTTTATTATTTGTGTATGGGCACACTGAGGTTGTGCTGGAGGGGCTGCAGCCTGCACCCAGCACTGTTCGAGGAGGGGTTTGATGTGTCTGAGAGCGGCCAGAAGGCGCCGATCCTTAAAAAACCTCGTCCTGAAGGGAAGATCCCGGGAGCCAGGGACAGGCAAGACGCGGTCCCGTCCCCTCCCCCCCTCGTCTCTCCGCGGTGGTTTCGCCCTGTCCCCCCCCGCCCGCGTTGGTCGCGCCCGGCCGCCCTGCAGCACGCACCCTTCGCCGCGCCCCTTCGGCTGTACCAACTCATCTCAGCGGGGGAGGATGGAAGAGAGCGAGAGGCCCCGCTGAATGGCAGCAGCGGGTCTGCGGCTCTCTCCGCTCTCTGTCTGAGAGTTGTAGATAAGGGAAGCTGCGGAAGGCGCTTTGGGGAGAGCGAGAAGACGGGCGGGACAGGGATGCTCCCCCTCCAGGCGGTGGATGGCACAGCCCGCCCGCCCCGCGCGGCCGAACCCGGAAGGTGGCGGCGCACATGGGCGCGGGGGCCGGGCCCGGGATCGGCACCGGCACCGGGATCGGGATCGGGATCGGGATAGGGAACGGGGCGGGAGGAGCCGCCGGGGCGCTGGGCGCTGCCGTGGCTGCTCTCTACACGGCCACGCTGCCGCCCGCTCTGCCCGGCGGGGATGCGGGTAAAGTACCGGCTCAGCCAGCGGCGAGGGTGGGGACCCTCGGCCCGTACGGCTGGAGCATCGCGGTCAGCCTTCGGCGGGGGGCGGGCGGGGACGAGCCCTTAGGGACTGGTTGCTTTCACCTCATAGGAACTCGTGCATCAGTGACACCCCCGTAGCGCTGGTCACTCCAGAGGTGCATGGGTGTCACCCCTGGAGGGTTGGTGTCACCCCATAGCGTTGGTGTCACCCCATAGGGTTGGTGTTACCCCATAGCGTTGGTGTCACCCCATAGGGTTGGTGTCACCCCTGGAAGGTTGGTGTCACCCCATAGGGTTGGTGTCACCCCTGGAAGGTTGGTGTCACCCCATAGCGTTGGTGTCACTCCTGGAGGGTTGGTGTCACCCCATAGGGTTGGTGTCACCCCTGGAAGGTTGGTGTCACCCCATAGCGTTGGTGTCACTCCTGGAGGGTTGGTGTCACCCCATAGGGTTGGTGTCACCCCTGGAAGGTTGGTGTCACCCCATAGTGTTGGTGTCACCCCTGGAGGGTTGGTGTCACCCCATAGCGTTGGTGTCACCCCTGGAGGGTTGGTGTCACCCCATAGGGTTGTCATGGCAGAGAGCTGCGCACTCCACAGGGACTGGTGCATTGATGTCACCCCCAGCCTTGCTGCCATCCCATAGGGATGCTCACCCTATAGAGACTGGTGCATGGCTCTCACCCCTGTAGAGCTGTTCACTCCAGAGGGGCTGATGCATTGCTGTCACCCTGTTAGGTTGGCTGTCATCCCATAGGAATGCTCATCCTGTAGGGCTGACACTTCACTGCCACCCCGTAGGGTTGCTGTTATCCTATAGGGACTGGGGCATTAGTGTCACTCCAGGGGGTTGCTGTCACCCCATAAGGATGCTCATCCTATAGGGATGGGTGCATTGCTGTCACCCCATTGGGTTGCTGGTCCTATTAGGTCCCCACAGCCACTGGTGGAGTGCAGCCACTTTTGGGGTGCTCACCCCATTGGGGTTGGTGCATTTGAAGCTCCCCATAAGGGCACTGGCCCCACAGGTGGGTGCAGCAGGGACACCCTGCTTTGGGGTGTTCACCCCTAAAGGCCAGGGCAGTCATCAGTGGGGTCAGCACAGCAAGGTCCCTGCTGGGGCTGGTGCCCTCAGGCCACCCCATAATGGTTTGCCTGTATTTGAACCTTTTTGCAAAGGATTTAGCCAGGGGCCCTGGGGACAGCTGGTGACTTTAGGAGACAGATGTGACATCCTGCCAGATGTGCTGTCACTGCTTGGACTGTGACTTTCCTGGGAAAGCTTTAGATCTGCCTGTCTGGAAGTGCAGCTTCTGCCAGTGTCAGACTGTCTGAATGGTTGTGAACTGTCTGAATTTGGCACTGCTGATCCCACAGGTGGGACAGAGTTCTCCTGGTTGGTCCTGCTGTGGTTTTACTGATACAACCTGCTCTTGCTTAAAAAATACTTTAGTTTTTTGTGTGTGACTTGGAGATAGGAGGACTTGGTTTTTCTTGGGGATATGTTGATAACTTTCATTTCATGGAAGGAGTGTCTAGGATACTTTCTTTCTGTGTCATCCCAGAACAGTGTTGAGTAGCTCTGCTTAACACTGTTCCTCCTGGTTATCAGTGGTTTCAAATCCAAGCTGTGCATGAAATTCCTTCTAAATAAATGTCATTTCAATGGATTCATGTATTTTACACGCTCAGGATGTGTGGAGAGAGAGGCACTGGCCAGGTTGGCCATGATGGCTTTTGCTTCTGCTCCCAAATTACTAAAAGGGCTGGGTTTTCTCCTTCTGGGTGTATCAATTAGTATGTGATGATTGATATATTTGCAGTTGTTACCATTTTGCTTTTTATTACAATTTTTTGCATTTTTGTTGTCTGTGGAAAGCACCCTGTGCTCTGAGCTGTTCATGCTGCACAAAACCTCTGGAACCTGGTTTATAATTGTTCTTGAGCCTGGATTCTCCCTCTGGGGTGCAAATAACCATCAGCAGCCTTTGCAGGGATGCAGGTGCTCCTGCTGATGTGATGGATGGATCTGGGATTTGGTTTTTTGTTTCATGTGAATTATCCCAACCAAACAGCTGATGGGCTCACCCCAGTCTGCATGGGTTATTGTGGTGTTAGAGGGAATCTCTCAGGACAGTGTCCCTTGACCAGCCCTGTGACTTCACTCCTTGTCTCTCCTTATTTATTTTTTGAATTTTCTTCTAAATTTGCTGCCTGGCTTCCATGTGTTCACTGGGACTGAGCAGACACAGGCTCATCCCTGCTGTCCCCTTGTGCCTGTCCCAGCCACCACTGTGTCCCATCACAGTGTCAGGACTTTTTTGGGCATTATTCTCCTAGTTTCTCATGGCTTGAGCATGGAGTCCCTGGAATGTCTGTGCATGGCCCTGCTCGAGGTGTTTAATTTGCCTGTGCCTGAGCATGGAGCTCAAACTTGTGCCACCAAAAGCACTGAGGCTCCTTGTGTGAGTAAAGAGCTGCTTAAGGATTTGCTGTGTCTGCTTCCAGGCAGGGGGCCTAGTATTTTATTTTATTTTATTTTATTTTATTTTATTTTATTTTATTTTATTTTATTTTATTTTGTTTTGTTTTGTTTTGTTTTATTTTATTTTATTTTTTATTTTAATTTTATTTTTTATTTTTATTTTATTTTTTATTTTTATTTTATTTTTATTTTTAAGCTATCTGTATTTTTAATTGTTCCCAAAGTTTGCAGTAATCCGAAAATGTCAAAGGCAGTCGGAATTTCCACTGGCAGCTTGCTTGTGTTACTTAGAGTTAGAATAAAGAAATGAATGAGAGAATAATAGGGGGAGATGGAATTGTAATTCAGAAACATCCACAGATGTTAAAACAGCTTAAAAAGGGATCAAATAAAGTTTAAAAAAAAAAAGAAAATAAACCAACCAAATGTTCCCTGTGATGTTTCAAACATCAGCTCCCAGACTTGCTGGGAATAAATCAGAGTTCAGGCAGCTTTGGGCCTGTTGCCTGATCACCTTTATGGGGTTGTCAGGCTGGGAAAGTTGTTTACATCAGAATCACAGAATATTCTGAATTAAAAGAGACCCACAAGGATCATTGAGTCCAACTTTTAGCCCTGTGGAGTTGGAGGGAATAAAAACTCTTCAGTCTGAGCCAGTGCCTGAGGATGCCACAGGTTATTCTGTCTCACAAGACACTGAAACCAAGTTTGTGGGTGCTGTACTTCTTTGTCTGTTTTGTTATTTAATATTAGTGCTCCTCACTCCTCCAGCCCATGGAGGCTGTAAGGGATGCTCAGGTATGTGGGTGAGAGATGGAGAATTAATCTTATCCAAAGTAGTGGTGTTATGTATTTATTTTGATTTTCCCACTGGAATTCAACAGGCCTGCAGCCTGGGAGCTTATTTTTTGCAGGTCTTTTTGTTTTGTTTTGTTGCTTTTTTTTCTTAATTCTTACAAGACAAAGTTGTGCTGTTGTCTTTCAAAGCTTGGTGGTGGCTTCCACCAGTGGTTTATTTACATTATTTTTGCAGCTTCCTGGTTGGTTTGTGGGGTTATTTCTTTGGGGTTATTCTTGCCCTTGATAGAAATGTCACAGCAATGTGAATGAACTCTAAATTTTTGCTGTTTTAGATGCACATATTGCTGCATCCCAGAAAGACTTTAGTGGGGGTGAGGCCATGCCTGGCTTGGGATCAGCATGTCTGGGATGTGCTGGGTGATGGGTACCACCAGCTGCTGCACACTGGGGAACCCCCACAGTGCCAAATTTAGGGTTTCCTTTATTATCATCATCCTTTTGCAGGAGGATTGATCCCTTCCCAGCCTCGCTGTGCCCTGGAAATGTTGGAGCTGCTGCACAGTGAAGGGCTCATAATGGGGATGGATGGTTTCCCCTATTGCATCTGCTTTTTTGCAGTAGGGTGAAATTTTCCTAAAATAAAAATAGCCAGTGTTTGCAAGTGCAGGAAACTCCATGTCTGAGAGATTTTGGTGAGGAAGTGGCAGGTTTGGCCCCAGCTCAAATTCTGCAGAAGTTGCCACCAGCAGTAATGGGTTGACTTTCATCTTCTTTTTAAAATGCAGCATTTACTGTGGTGTCAGGATTTAAAGGTGCCAGTTGTGCAAACCTCCCCCTCCTCCTTTGCGTGGTGTGGTGAGGGTGTGATTGTACAGAAATTTAAAATATTGTTAATTTAGCATTTAAAACCATCAGTGCCCTTCATTTGGGTCTTTCCCACGTAACACCTCTGCCACGACCTTGGTGTTTGCAAAATGAGCAGGACCAGGAAAATTGGATTATGAAATTTGAGGGAAAGAAGGAAAACCAGCCATAATTTTTAATTTTGTTTGTCCCTGAATGTGTTGTGCCTATTGAATATATTCGATGTATGTTGTTCAGGAGTGTTTGCTGCAAAATGCTCCAGTGTCAAATGCTCTAAAAATGCCAAATTTTCTGCTAATGTGGGTCTTTTTGTGGCAGTTATTTGTCCTGGCATAAAATACAAACAAAATGCAAAATCTAAATGTTCTTTCTAATGGGAGCTGGGTGCAGCATCCACTGACAGGTAAAAGAGTTACTTGTGAAGCAAAATTGCTTTAGCATCGAGGGAGAGCAGCGTTCCCGATTAAATGGATGCAGATTTGCACGATCAGTGATTATATTTTTCCTCTTTAAAAACTGTAAAGCTCTGGTTTTGTGTTGGTTTCTATTTTTTTATTTTATTTTTTTGATGAGAAACAACTGGGTTGTTGAACAGACAATGAAGCTTAAGCGTTGCAAACTGTAGTGCTTGAAAGTTATTGAGTCAGATGGTTTTAAATTAAAAATACACACACACAAAACGTCTGCATTTTGAGTATCTCAGGCCATTCTTTGCCTGAGCCTACCTATATTTTCACTTATCTGTACATAAAAGTCTCGCGAAAACATACAAAAGATATTTTGTGCAATGACATCAGAGGGAGAAAATATTCTTAGAAAATTTCATGCTGTTAAATCTCCACAGATTTACAGTTTTATCCAGTCAAATTAATGCAAAACCCCAATGCAAGCATTTGGATTTTGAAAACTTTGGAGGAGTGTCATTTCCTAATAGTAATTATTGGTTTTACATTATTTTTTCACAGGGGAGCTGATCACAGCCGCATATGAGCTTGGAGTAAGTATTAGTTTTATTGTTTAATCAATGCTCTCATTAACAGTTTTAGGAATTAAGGAAGTTTAATTAAGCATGGAGTAAAGTAGATTAATTTATTTTCAAACCACAGTTTTTACTAACTTATAAGTACAGCACGCGACAATTTACTTCAAGTTTTAAATCCAATTAAACTAAATTATAAAGCAAAGGCTTTACTGTATATACAGTAGCTGGCTTATTATCAACCCAAATTTTGTATAAGCTGGGGAGAATAAAATAAATCGGGTTAACAATTTTAATAAGTTTTATTATTTAATAAACTTTATTATGGTGCATGATCCCTTTAGGCAAGACCTTAGGACTGTCAGCGCGGTGGTAATCCGATAGCAGTGTGGTCTTTCAACTTGCTAACCAATAAAATAGTTGAGAAGCTGCTTTTTTTTTTTGGAAAAAAAAAAAGAAAAAAAAAAAGGAAGAGGGGAAAAAAAAAAACCAAACAACAACAGCCTTTTGAATGACCCTAATATACTGTGAACCCAAACAAGGAGCCCTTTAAGGCACGCTAATGAAACGTGGCACCTCCTTTTCCTCACCGCCTCATTATTATGGGCGAGGCGTGGAGCCAGATCCACTGAGGAAAAAAATCTTTGTGGGGCTGGGATGGGCATCCAGGGTTGGGATGGACAGGGGAGGTTGGGATGAGTACCGAGGGCTGGGATGAGCCCCGAGGGTTGGGATGGACACCAGGGGTTGGGATGGACACCAGGGGTTGGGATGAGCACCGAGGGTTGGGATGAGCACCGAGGGTTGGGATGGACACCAGGGGTTGGGATGAGCACCGAGGGTTGGGATGAGCACCGAGGGTTGGGATGAGCACCGAGGGTTGGGATGAGCACCGAGGGTTGGGATGAGCACCGAGGGTGGCTCGGGAAGCAGAGCTGCTCGGGACTGCCCTGCTCCCATTCCCTGCCTCTCCCCCTTTTCCAACCCTGTGTCGCTCTGTCCATAGGTCGCCCACCCTCCTGGCTACCCCCTGTTCACGCTGCTGGCCAAAGTGGCCACGGGGCTGCCCGGCGGCTCCCCCGCCTTCCGAGTCAATCTCCTCTGCGGCTTGGTGGGAGCAGCTGCTGCCTCGTTGCTTTTTTGCACGGTTTTCAGGTAAAGTCCTCGAGGGTGCTTTTTCCTTGGCTTCCTGGTGCTTCCCTGGTGGCTCGGGACGTTCCCAAAGGCTCTCTCTGCTCCCCGCTGGCCTTCGGACCGGTGTTTGCCCCCCCTTCCCTAATTAGTTCCTCTGATTAACCTAACAGCAACTTAATCTGAATTTGACCTTCTTTCCTGCACAAAAGCCTCCCCCTCTTTTATTTCCCCCCCCCACCTTTTCTTTTCTGTTAAATAATAATAATAGCAATAATAAAAAGTGCGCCCTTTCCCTTGCCCAGCCGTGACAGGTTGTTCGGGCTCATTATCACAAATCACCGCTCGGTTTAACTAACCAGAACTAATGAAGTTTGTCGTTCTCGAAAGATGCAGATGGTCTGTTTAAATTAACAGGATGAGCTTCACCTATCGGAAAACCGTGAACTTGCTTTAATTGCAGCTCCCGGCGGAGGTGGATGGGCAGTTGCCTGCCCGTGGTACCCAAGGAGCAGGGAGAGCGTCCCTGCCTTTCCCTGGAGCAGCTCCGGGCTCGGGGAGGGGATGTCCGGAGCCTCCTCTCCGGACCTCTAACCTTGGGGATGACAGGGAACAATCGGGATGCTCACGTGGTTGTGGGGTTTTTGTTAACCCTGCTCGTCTTTGATGTGCGAGTTCTGGCTGCTCTTAACCTCAGCCTGACCCATATTTGAGAGGATTATGACAACCCGTATAAACAATTTCTGATGTTCTTTTGCAGAGAAAATAGGGCACGTTTTGAGGCTGCAAACGGTATCGGGGCGCTTCGGGATGAGACGGGGCGCTTCCCGACTGGGATTATTTTGACAAAAACCCTTTTCTCCCGCCTGCTTCCAGAGCCACCCCTCGGGGAAAACCTTCCCAGGGAGTGAAAGCAACCTAGAAATAAAAGCAGGAATTAATGGGGAGGTGGTGAGGGGCAGATTCTGCACAGCCCAAGATCCCTGAGCTCACTTAAACTTTGTTCCGCAGGGTCCGTCTTCCTCTGCTGAAGAGGAGATGCTTTTTTTGCGCATCACCGTGCACGTAGCTTCAGCTCCAAAGCACACCTACTGGAATTGCTTGAGTAGTTCCTAAATATTTCTGTAGGCATTTAAAGTGATTGCTTTCACTGGTGGGTAATACATGTAATTAAGTCAGCATTATTTAATTTAATATCCTGTATTTCACAGCCTATTTGGGAAGCTGGAAGTGGCGCTGCCCTCCCATGCACAGCGCCCGGCGCAGCATCAGAGCACAACTCCATTCTGTTAAAAACTCCTGCAAGGAGTTGCTGAAGGTTTTCTGTATTTGCTTCTGATTTCTTTTTTAAAGATGATTATTTCCATTATTGCAGTTATTTGGAAGATCTTCCCCAGTTTTTAGTTTGAACCGCAGTGTGACGGTTCCTTGGGTGCCCGCTTTGTGCTTTGGAAATGGTGCAGTCGTTCTTTTAGAGAAATAAAGATACAGGAGAGAAATGACAGGCTACATTTGAAAATTATTTTGGGAATTATTTTAGCACTTCTGAAGGTTTAGGTGTTTTGTTGTTGTTTAATTGGATTTGGAGGATGTCGCTTCTGTCAAATTTAGAATCTGCATGAAGGAACAGAAAACGTGGAAGCGAGAGATGATAAAAACTATTAAGACTTACAGAAATTATTTCATAGATACTGACAGGATCAATTATTCAGTCTAGCAGTGATTGATTTATTTTTTTTAAATTATTGTAAGGTCAGTTTTATTTCAAAATGAAAATGTTAACATTTTTTCCTTTCAAGCACCTGAAAACTGATTTATTTTTTGGGACATTCATTTGGCTAAAAAAAAAAAAGAAAAATTATTGCTTTTTTATTTACTTTTAATAAAAAAAAAAATTAGAAAGTGTTCACTGGCACTGTGTGCTTGAAGCTGTAGCTGTCTGAGGGTGATGCGGTGTGTTTTAAACCGGGCTTGTCCGTCCTCACAAAGGGACTAAACGGGTCTATCAAATCCCTCCTTATTTTTATGTTTAAATACAATTATCTGATGGGGTGACCCCCTATGAGGTACCAGTGGCAAAATCAGCACCTGCTCCTCTTACCGTGTGAAACGTGGATGTTAATATGAAAATATGTAGATGTTAGGAGTACAAATAATTGATGAAGTACACATCCTTGGGGAGCAACACGGTTCAAGTGGCAAATCTGCCTGCTCAAACAATAGCCACCCTCCAGCGGGGAGGAAGCCATCTCTATGGAAATGGGGCTGACGCTGCCCTATTGATCGAGTGAAGAAGACATTATACAATGTCAGTTGGCTTGTTACAATTTCATTTGTCGTCTGACCTGAACTTAACCTCTAAAACCTTTCTTTTCTCCCCGCCAGCCGGGCAGGGTTGCTGTTTACCCTCGCACGGGGTTTTGCCGTGCCTTCCTTCCTCCCAGCATCCCCATACAATAAATCTCTCCCTTTTATTTATTTTATTTTTTTTTTTTTTTTTTATTAATTTCCCCATTGATTCTTTTTGTTCGAGTCATTTCCCGGAGTTTATTCCTCGGCAGGTCGGGGCGATTTCATTGCTTAAGGAAAAGAGTCGCGGTTCCCTCTGTGGTGTTTGGGATGTTGTGGCACGTGCGGGATTAGGGTGGAATTTATTCCTGGAGCAGATTTCCCCTTTGCCAGGTGATGGCTGGCGGGATGCTCCGCGCAGGCAGCGCTGGGGTCGAGAGGAAGCAGCCGTCGCATCGCGTCTGTTTGTTCATTTTATTGTGTTACAATATAGGATAGTACTCATTTAATTACATTATTTTTTTTAAGCCTGGATTGTTCTTCTCGAAGCAAAATTACGTCGCAGCACATTGGTGCAGAAAGCCTTGCTGTCAGTAATCCAGACTATCGCTGAACGAGCCGTTTGCTCCTTTGAGTTACTTCTCAAGTATGGATTTTTTCCCCCCCCCTCTCTGCACAGTCTTAATAAATTGCTTGTAATTATCGTAAAATGCCATTTACAAAGAGTTTTCTCGGACTGCTTGTAACTGAGGCAAATAATTCATCTTTGCTTTGAAGGAGGGGGGAGCTGCTTTATGTTTTTAGGACTCGGCGAGTGCGGCTGTAGGATTGTTTCTTTAACAAGTATTTATTTGTTTTACTGTGGGAGGCAAAGCATAGCAAGTTTACAAAGTAAACCAATTATCTTCTTATAATATGATTGCCAAAGTGTCATTTTCTGCACAGGGGATACATTCTTTGCATTCTCTGCTGCAAAGAGAAATAGGAAGCTTTCCCCTGCTCTAAGTGCATTTTTTTTTCCAGGGTATACCTTGGATAGTTTGGCTATTTTGGGGTTTCTGGGTACACAAAGCTTTTTTATTGCAGAGGCAGTAGCAGAGTAGGCAGTGTCATTGCCCAAGTATTTGTAGGAAGTTTTTGCCAGCTTTTTTCTGGCTGAATTGGACACAGGGTCTTAAAAAGGGGGAAGATGTTGCATTAAATTAAGCAGTTCGCATCTCTTTGGTTTGCTGTTCTGGGTATCATATTAACTTTTGGATTAATACATTATATATGTGTATTTTTATATATCTATTATATATTTTATATATATATATTTGTATTCCCTGCCCACTAAACCTTCCAGGCAACAAACTGTGAGTGTATATAAAACCCAGAGCCAACTCTTCTCCCACTGTCAACAAAAAGGAGAATTAGGCATGTTGGATAATGAAACCATCGACATGATTCCTTCATTTTGAAATCATAGGGATGTTTTGGAAGTGGCACTCGACCCTCTTGATGGCACTGAGCTTTCTGGCTCCCAGGGTGTGTCCTGGAGCTTTTGTGGGAATGTCCCTAAGGAGGATGAGGAGGATCAGTGACCTTCATGGCCATCCCAGAGGGACCTCATGGCTGATGCTCCCTTAAAATTGCCTGGTGCTGGGAAAAGTTGTTTTCTGCCCCTGGTGAGTGAGGAAATGCTCCGTGTCCCTGGGGTACTTGGGTTTGCCAGAGCAGGATTCCTCCCTGAACAGTTTGACCCTTTTTTTGTAGACATGACTTGGTGAAGATGGAGGGATGAGAGAGGAGCCAACGCCCGCTCAACCAGAGTGGGAAATTACGAAATTGGGTTCTGGGGAAGGAGGAATCTCCTTATGGTGCATGTTTGGATTTTTCCAGATTACAGATTATCATAGATTATCTCTGCTGTAGCACAGCAGGAACGTCTTGGGCATTTGGAAAGCTTAGTGAGAAGCAGTCACAAAGTTTTAGGAGGGAGAGAAGAAAGGAATGTACTCGGGCACTGATATGTTTTTAGAAAATCTGCCATGACCTCTGGCTAATTGATCACATATCTGTTTTTATTTTTTTCCCCACTTGTCCCCAGAATAAACCAGCGCCGAGTTCAGTCTGTTTGAAGACGCTGCCAAATCTGTTCATTTGCATTTGGCTCTAAAGTAGGCGCACGAGGCTGCAGTAACTCTGCTTCATTTTGAAAAGGGGTGGGGGGGTGGGGGAAAAGAAAAAGCAGGGCAAAAAAACTCTTTTTTTTTTCTTTTTTTTCTTTTTTTTTTCCTTTTTTTAAAAAGACCGAAGAGTCTTTTCTGACAGCTAGTCAGAGTTAGAATTAGTTCAAGGAAATGTTAATAATGCACTGCCTGGCTTAATCCCTTTGATATCACCAGGTATCCTCCTGTTCATGGGTTAATTGCTTTAAAAGCGGAGGCAATATTCTGAGCGGTGGGCCGCTTCACCTTTTCACAGCTGTTACCATTGAGTGACAACTAAATCCCATGTGTAAGATGAGGAAGAGCTCAATCTCCAATTGGGAGAAAATTTATGTAAACCGCAATCCCTTCAGAATGTGCGGAAGTCACAGACTTTCTTGATTTACTCTGCTTTTCCCAGAAAGCTCCATTGTTCCCTTCCCTAAGTCCCATCAACCCTTTGTAGCAGAATATCACAGCGGCGGCAGATAGCTTGAAATATATAAATGCTATCATAGCTCTGATTAATAGCGGCGCTTATGAGTC